ACTACCCCCAAAAACTATTTTCCCAAGGGGTCTCTCCCAGCCCCGAAGGAGAAAATGCTATAGAAAATGTGTACAGCCTTTAAGCTGCCTTCCTCTGAACTTACAGACACTGAAAAGCCTCCAACCCAGGTCGCAAAGAATTAGAAACCAAGTCTAAGTGGGAAGCAACAAGCTCCAAACGAAAAGCCTGAGCAGAAGCCACCCGCCCAGCACGTCCAGACAGCCCAGGGCGTCCAGACAGCCCAGGGACCTGCCTTAAGTCACCCATCTCTAACCCTCTTCACTGTTTCATCCCCTCTCTCTCTTTAGCCGCATAGGAGTAGATGTGCTCTTAAGACTCCAGGACCTTGTACCTGCCCAGAAGGCCCACACTTCCCTGCCTGCTTCACTGCCAAGTGACTGGTCACAGCTTAACTGCTGGCAGCCAGAGTGTGCATGTACACATACCAAAAGCAGCTAGAGTCATTACTAGGGAAACTGTTGGTTTTTCTATAAACACACACTTCATGTACACATAGATATGTTTTACGTTTTAATTTTGAAATATAACTTTAAATTTTAATTACAGGCATTTTTAAACATTCATAATTATATAAAAGTGTACCTAACCACCAAGCAGCTTCAATAACCGTCAACAGATTGCCATATGATAGTTTCTTAAAAGTCTGACAAGTTTTTAATTGAGCAATAATATCAGCACACTGACTCAGACTTCCAGACACAGTGAGTGGGAGATAGCCTCAATCACAGCCATACATAGTGGCCTACATCTGCCTGGACCAACAGGAAAGGCTCACACACTCAGACAGCAACACCCAGCAGACGTGTGAAGGCAAAGGAGGGGTGAGGTTCCCTAGGATGAGGAAAGGAGTGGAAAGAGCAGATCAAGGACCATCCTGTCTACACCACTGAGCTATAAGGACTGCACTAGATTTAAAGGTTATTTAAAAAAAAAAAAAAGCAAATCAAAAAAAGAAACATGGAGCTGGAGAGATGGCTCAGAGGCTAAGGGCACTGGCTGCTCATCCAGAGGTCCTGAGTTCAATTCCCAGCAACCACATGGTGGCTCACAACCATCTATAATGAGATCTGGTGTCCTTTTCTGGTGTTCAAGTGTACATGCAGACAACACTGTATACATAATAAATAAATCTTTAAAAAAACAAAAAAGAAAGAAACATGTGGTCCCCACTGTCCAGACCCCTCTACCTGGCCCTCATCTGAAACGTGTGTACAGGTGCTCAGGTGAAGAAAAGAGCCAAACCCTGGAACAAAAGCTTCTGCCTAGGGCAAGCTGTAGATTAGTTTCTCTTTGTGAAACAGTAAACTCACACTTCAGGAGGACTTGTCAGGAGTCACAGTTTCTCCTCCAAATATTCTACTAATGATCTACAAATCTACTCACCTGTCCAAGCCGTGTGAAAAATCTGTACACCACTGAGGGCTTCCCATGGACAGAGTCTCCAACGCTGTCCCCTTCAGACATCCTGTAACTGAGATAAACACAAGACACCTTCAGGAGTGTGCAAACTTTCCCATCAACTGAGCAGTCTTGCAAGAACTTGATGTCTGACAACTTGACATTTTATCCAAAGTGTTTCTGTGGGTTTTCATCAACCACCCTGTCTTTTTCATGTTCTGCCCTGGATCTGGACTCCCAGGGCCAGGTCTTCTCCTCATCAACAGAACTAGCAGGTAGCCTATCTATCCATGACCCTGATTCTTATCTGGCACCTGAAGGTAACCCTATCTGGCCCTGGCCATTTCAAATGCTGCTGGGATCCCAGGCAGAATTCACCATAGAACTCAGGCAGCCAAGAAAAACCCTCATTACCCTCAGTTACACAAAGGACAGATTTCTAGCAGCCCGAGGCCAGGCAGCAGCTCAGGTCCAGCTTGATATCCAGCTCTACAGATATGGACTCAGGGAAACTCCTAAGTAATGGGACCTTTGTCATCAGTCCTACTTGAAAAGCATGAGGGAAAGATCTTGTGGTCCTGCTCCTCTCAGATCTGTGAGCAGCACCTGTCCTAGTTCCCTCTGCTACCAACGGGTGAAAAGAAGAAACACACTGTGGTTTACTTATGACTGAAATCTACTTGTGCGGAGCAGCTGAGAGGCCTCAGCAGACTTTCTGGCTACCGTCAGCCTCAGGCTCATCATCTGCAAAATGATGCTCTTTCAAAACCTAGACATACAGGCAGACTTCAATCTGCAGCAAGTCTTGAGCTTGGTCTCAACGCATTGCTCCCAAAGTAGGAAAGAGAGCAGGCTCACAAAGCTAGAGAAGGGCATCAGGGACAGAAGTCCAACGCCTCCTGCCTTTCTTCTACGTGAACCCTGGGGAAGTCTTTTGGAAGCAGGTATCAGCAGCCTCAAAACGCAACCTTGGATGGCAAACAGGTAACCTGACAGTCCTCTCAGCAGCTCCACGGGCCACAAACGCAAACGTGCACTAAGAGTTGTGAGATCTGGAGGCACTAAGTACAGTGCTCAGAGCCGTCTAAGGCTGAGCACGTCCTTTGGTCTCAGGTGTGCAGCATAAACTAATGCACACAATTTAACTCAAGAACCAAGTCACGGTTCTCCCTTTCTGAGGGGACAATTTTACACGTTATGGGGGAATCCACATGTAAACCAGGCCACATTAGAATGCACTGCCTAGAGTGGAAATGGCCATCCCACTAAGCCCAGCCTATAGAAAGCTGTCTTAGACATATTCTTCACCCTATAGTATATGAAAATGTTCCCTTATTTTACTGTTTACCACTAAAACACGTTTGCTTAAATTGTGACAAGAGTAATATTAAAAATAAAAATACTAGGCCTGGTGGTGCACACCTTTAATCCCAGCACTCAGGAGGCAGAAGCAGGGGAGTTTGAGGTCAGCCTGATGTACACAGTGAGTGCCAGACCGACCTGTCTACATAGTGAAACCATTAAACAAACAAACAAAAAAGGACAGGGCTACTCCTTGAAAGTACGTATTCTTACGATGGGCTGACTGCTCACAACTCTGGTTCAGATGATTTGTAGAAAACCTAACCCAAAACATATTAGTCAAGTTTTGATTTTCAGACAAACATTGCTCTACATCTTGATTAAAATCGCTGCCAATAAAAACCTGAGAGAGGCAGAACGAGATTAAGAACGTGAACTTTGGAGCCCTGCTCCAGATCCCGGCACAGCACTTCCTGTGTATGATCTGAAAGGGCTTGGGTCTGGAAAATGGGGTGAGCACCTCACTGCCTTCCTTAATAGCATCTCATGAGGATCTCATGGCAGCCTGTGGTGAAGCAGGTGCCAGGTGTCACAGGTCACACTTGTTCCTGGTTTAGGCTGCCCCTCATACCAGCTGTTCTAGCTCCAGTCCTCTTCTCTCACTCAGACTAAAGGTCAGAAGGCCCTCCATGCTGTCCAAACTGACCACCAGTTTCCTATCACATCACTTTCTATTTCCTGTAACAACTGCTTTCTGATTCTTTTCTAGTAATCTCTGTTTCCTCCCACCAGAGTGCAAGCTCTGTGAGAGGGCCTGTCAGGTTTTTGGATGGGCCTCACAACCTGCAGGGCTTGTCACATACTTACTGAAACTGCTCTATGCTCTGTCACAAGGAAAAAAAAAAAGAAAAACCTCAAGAGAAAAGCTGTTCTAAGGGAGTACCACATACAGAACATTCTCCCCATACCTGTTTCTGGAGCCCATTATTTGGCTAGTTTCTACAATCCATCAATCCTAAATGAGGAATATGGCAGAGAAGAAAGCTCTCTGCATAGCCTCTGGGGTCACTGCCTCCTAGGAAGAGCATCTACATGCTTCAAAAGTTGTTCCCTTTCTCAAAGGCCTTCCCGACCCTAATCCTCTGAGTTCTTCTGTCTAGACCGCTCCCACCTTTGGAGAAGACCGTCTTCTATCTCCCCCAGGCCTTTTCATTCTATCTCCACTGCAACCAATTCCCCAACACACACAGGACCTAAGGGCCAGAGTGTGGGTTACTGGTGCTCTTATGAGCACTTGTGCGGGAATTCCACATTGTGAGTTGAAAACTCAACCCAATTACGACATAAAACTAGTCTCAATTCTTTAAAAGTCAAAAAAGAAAAGCCACTGGGGGTTCTAAGTATGAAGGTAGGTAGCCCTCTTGCACTGCTATACTCGAAAAGAAGACAATGTAGTCTTATCAGCAGGACGCTGAAGGTACGTACAGCCTGGAGGGCGGGGGAATTTCATTGCCTTAATGTCACACATAATCTAGAGCCATTTAAACAGCAACCCTTCAATCCATTCCGTAACGTCTTCACCCTCAGGCTTAATTCCTACACGTGTGCCCCGAAACCGAACGTGGTTGGGTAGCAAGAGGACACCTAACCCTTGCCGCCCCGGATCAGCGCAGGCAGCAACAGGCCACCTTCCTCCGAGGCCCCACGGCCGAAGGGGCGAGCAAGGGCCGGGGCGGGGCAGCGCTCGGCAGTCCCGTCGTGGACCCCTCCCGGAGATCGGCCGGCCCCTTGGCAACCCCTCGCCAGTCTCAAAGGCGCTGCCCGGCCCCGCCCGCCCGCCCATGGCCTTGACAGTCCAGAGGAAGGCAGTGGTGTGCCGCCCGGCCAGGTCCGCTCCACCAGTCCACCCCCAGCACCTCGCAGCTCTGCTGCAGCCGAGCCGCGGTTTCCCTCACGGCTGCGGAAGGAGGATGGCGGGCAGAGCGGCCGCCAGAGCTCGGCTCGGGATCCGGGGAGCTGCACAGCCACTTCCGTTCCGTCCTGCGGCGCCGCCTCCTGCCGCCAAGATGGCCGCGGGGCGGGGCCCACGCTCCAACCATTTCCGCTTCCGGTATAAACGCCGAAGCCGTTGGCGGGAGTGCTTCCCGGCGGAAAAATAGAGCTGGCGGAAGTGCGCCCTGCTGCACAGGCGCATTGCCGTCCCCAGGCTCCGGATTCGACGTTGTTGCTTCGGATGTTACCGTCACCAGACCGAGGCCTTGCCACGCCCCGTGGCGACCGGAGGCCAATGGCTGGCAGCTTTACGGTTGCTAGGGAACCGTTGGCGGCAAGATGGCGGAGACCGGAGATCGGTCTGTTGGGCTCCAGCAGGGCCGGCACTCGGTGAGACTGCCGCCACGAAACGGTAAGAGCTGTGTATCCCCGCTGGAGCTCGGTCGCTCTGGAGGGCGGTACTTGCAGCCACGACAAGGCTGAATCCTGTGCCTCAGACAGGCCTCGTTCGCGTTCGGGTGCCCCTCAGGCACGGTCCAGGCTGCAACAGGCTCACTGCCAGCCGACTCCCCGTTAGGGGCACGCTTAGAGCTGAGGTCAAGCTGGGCAGGGTGATCACGCAAGGCCTCAGAATGTGGGCCGGCCGAATGCATTCTAATGGGAAATTGCCTAAAACCGGCGGAACAGGGTGGATATGAGGCCAGGGTCAACACTCGTGCCGCCGTTTCTCCGCCCCAGGCTGCGACTTGCTGGCAAGGAAGCAGTGGGGTTGCCTGTCCACCTCAGGAACTTAGAGATAGGAGTTGGGTGTGGGGTTTCAGAGCTGCATGATAAAAGTGAGGCTAGCCTGGAGTCCTTAGCGGTAAGTGAATTTTGTTCCATGGAGACAGGAGGATGGCAGAGGTCCTGGCAGAGTGGGCTCCTTGCTGAGGTTGTTCGCTGCTTCTCTGCCCTCACCACCACCTTTTAAATCCTTCTCTTAAGAGCCTACAATCAATCAGTTTTTGTCCTAGTCCTCCTCTGGCCAGTACTGCATTTTTTTTTTTTCGTGCTTATCCATGTAACAAATCCCAAGAAAGTAGTGGGGGCAGGGCGGGGCAGCGAACAACAATAAGCAGAACTGAGCTTATTGAACTCATACACCGTAAGCAGTTAACCAAAGTGAAGATCCTGTCCTATTGAAGGTGTTGAGAGTCTAGAAATGACCTGCAGACTACTCCATGAGCTGGCCCGCGTCTGTGTCAGCTGATATCAGACACTGTTCATCTTTTCCATATACAGGCTATGGCGTATATGTGCACTCAAATTCTTTCTTCCGCTACGAAGGAGAATGGAAAGGAGGGAAGAAACATGGTAAGAAGCCTCTGCTCATTCCAGAGGCCATACTTTTGCAGCTAAGAGCCAGTTTCCTGAGAAGTTTGGGGGACAGTTAGTCTTGTGCCAAGCAGGGGCCAGCGCTATGCCTACACACTGGTACCACTCTGTCCAAATCATGGTGGAAGCAATGTAAGACTAGTGGAACTATCGGTGGGAGGGAAAGAGTGAGGCCATGGGTCCAGAGTGACACCAACAGACACGCTCAAGCATGCTGTGTGTGTCCTATTGGACATCCATGCCTGTCATCTTCAGCCTTAGTTTCTCTGTGCTCCTAAAGAAATTAAACAAAAATCGGTAAACAAGGGAGAGAAAGAACCCTGTTCTCTCCATTATGTCTGTGGCAGCGTTACAGTTTGTAGAAAATCACCAGACAAAAACCAGAAGACAGGTAGATTTTGCTATGAGCCCTTGAATCTGTTGGTTCCTGGGGAAAGGCTGCTGTGTTCTCAGCAGCATGGAGGGTCCGTTATATTTTCTAATTTAGAGTTACATACAGACAAGACATCATGATTTGTTTCTACTCATAAAGAAATGACCAACCTGTGGTGACGGCACACACCTTTAATCCCAGAAATTAAAGGAGGCAGAGGCAGGCAGATCTCTTGAGTTCAAGGCCAGCCTTGTCTACAGGGTGAGTTCCAGAGCAGCCAGGGCTACATAGAGAAACCTTGTCTCAAAAAAAACAAAAAGAAAAAAGAAATGACCACTTTTTTTAGAAAACCTAAGCAGTAGTGGAAAGAAATATAAAATAAACATCCCCTGGAATGCCCACACTCACACCAGGAAAGTCTTGAGTTTAGACTTTCCAGTGTCGAGACTTCCTGGCTTTTTTCCATTTGTAGAGTCTGCCTGCTAAGTATGCTAAAGGGCTTTTCATATCTGCTGGCTACCAGAATATTTTTCTCATTTCTTTTATTTCTTTTTTTGTGTTGTTTGTTTGTTTGTTTGTTTTTGAGCCTCAATCTTGCTATATAACCCAGGCTAGCCCTGAACCTGTAATCCTTTTGCTTCAGCCTCCCAAGTGCACAACTGCACCCAGTCTCTACCATTAATTTTTTAATGTTTTTGTTTTGCTGTGAACTCAGGGCCTGTACATGTTAGGCAAGTGCTCTACCATTAGGTTATATCCTTAGCACCTTTCAACTTTTGTTTAGTTTTTTTGTTACACAACTGTTTCTTATTTTTGCACCATCATTAAGGATTATCTTACTGTAAGCAGGCACCAGAACTTATATCTAAAACTGTTGTCACAGTTGCCTGAAGAGTCACCACTTTTAAGAATGTGTTCTCAGCCAGGCATGGTGGCACATGCCTTTAATCCCAGCATTCAGGAGACAGAGGCAGCCGGATCTCTGTGGGTTCAAGGCCAGCCTGATCTACATACAAAGTGAGTCCAGTACAGAGCCCTAGGGCTCCTGTTACACAGAGAAACCCTGTCTCGAAAAACAAACAAACAAAAAAAAGAATGTGTTCTCCAAGGATCAGAAAGATGGCTCTGAAGTCAGGAGTGCTTGTTGCTCTTGCAAAAGATCAGAACTCAGTTTGCAGCACCTCATAACAGCCCATAACCAGTCTCCATGAGTACGCTCATACACGGGTGCACACACACACGCGTCCTTTGTCCTCATTTGGATAGAAGCAAGGGGACCCACAGAGGACGGACGAGGCCTCCTCTGCACAGCTCAGGCCTCTGTGTCATTTCTACTGAGAAGCTGGCATTCAGGAATATTTCTGTGGATTGTCTTGTTTATATGAGTTTCCACTGCGTTGCCCAGGTTGGCTCAGCCTCCTGAGTAACTAGACATGCCCCACCACAGCAGCTGAGGTTTTCACTCTGAGGAGCCCAGCCGCCCGGGTTGGTCTGTGGTCACTCCCCTTCACCAGCTGACTGCACATTGGTTTTTCTTACCAGGTCATGGGAAGCTATTGTTTAAAGATGGAAGTTATTATGAAGGCGAATTTATGGATGGAGAAATCACTGGGGAAGGCTGCCAGCACTGGGCCTGGTCAGGTTAGCGTTGGACATTGGTGGGCTCTTGATGGTGTTTTCATAAATCCTCTCAGAGTTTATGGACACACAAAGTGCTATGCGTAAACACGAGCTTCAGGTTCCACTAATAAGAGGATAACAGCATTCAGGCCAGGGCAAGGCAGTGTGAACCCTACAACTTAGGTGATCCCCATGCCCATGGAAGGCCTAGCCTCATGGAAGGGTGGCCTGAGCTTTGCACTTACCTCCATAGACAGCTTGTTCTGCTCTATAACACCTAGTTGAAATAAAGATTTGTCATCCCAAAGCTACAGGTTTTTTCTACATTAAAGATATTTTAGGGGCTGGAGAGGTGGCTCAGAGGTGAAGAGCACTGGCTGTGCTTCCAAAGGTCCTGAGTTCAATTCTCAGCAATTCTCACATGGTGGCTCATAACCATCTATAATGAGATCTGGTGCATATAAATAATAAATAAATAAATCTTAAACAAATTAGAAAAAAAATGATAATTTAGGCCAATACTCAAAACAAACAAACAAGATATCTCCATCATGCGCTATCCCTGGATGGGCAAGCTGTTCCATGGCTTCCATGCCAGTGGCCAGGGAGCTTTAGGCCTCACAGACAGTGGATTATTGACACTCTAGAGAGCTTTTCTCTTGGGCTTAGCATTCAGTTGTTTTTAAAAAGCTGGAAAAGAAGATTCATCCTTCACTGTGTCCCACGAGTGCCATAAGGGTTCCTAGGACCGTATGCCATCCCAGCCGGGGCAGGGAACACTAGTCAGCCCACTAGTGTTTCTTGCAGTCTTTCTTCCTCACTGTCCACATCAAAGAGGAAAATGAAAAGACAGACCCAGCCGAGTGTAGAAGTGCACACCTTTAATCCCAGCACTCAGAGGGCAAAGGAAGATTGAGTTCTGTGAGTTTGAGGCCAGTCTGGTCTGCAGATCATGTTTGAGACTAGCCTGGTTTGCAGATCAAATGCCATTGACAGCCAGAGCTACACAGAGAAACTGTCTTGAAAAACTTTAAAAAAGGAAAGGAAAGAATAAAATGGCATTTCCACTGCCGTCAGTTAGGGCATAGCAGAGAAACAGAAAGTAGCCTGCCTTATTTTTCTGTCTTATCTACATCAGGAAACACCTACTCCGGACAGTTTGTTTTAGGAGAGCCTCAAGGACATGGCATCATGAAGTACAAAGCAGGAGGTCACTATGAAGGGGAGCTCTCCCACGGCCTGAGGGAAGGTCTGTTACCCAGGGGCTTGGCCTGTGTGTGCTCAGGTTGTAGAAGCAGTGACCTAGCTTTTCTGACTTTGGAAGCTAGAAAGAGGCAGGAATTAGTACCCCCAATTCTTTTTGTTTTGTTGTTTTTGTTTTTCGGAACTGAGGACCAAACCTAGCCTTGTTCTTGCTAGACAAGAGCTATACCACTGAGCTAAATCCCCAACCCCTAGTACCTCATTTCTGCCCACAGTGAAGTCCAGCCCACCAGAGCCTGTCTACAGAGAACAAGCATGTGTCATACCCGAGCTATCCGCTCTAAATGCCATCGACCACTTACAGGCTAAAACAGTTCATTTATTTAAGGATAATCATGGATCCTACAGGTTGGCCTAAGGCAGGTCTTCCAGGTTCAGAACGGGTCTTTCCTGCTGTCACAGCCATGGTTTGATCAGATCCACTCTCCCAAGGTTCCAGTGCCCCTGGAATTCTCGGGCTCCCCCCAGGCCCTGAGTCAGTCACTTCCTCTATGGTCTGCAGGCCAGAAAGGATAATAGTTTGACTAAAGGGTTACCTGTCCCTTCAGGCACTGTGGAAGGACTAACCGTACCATGTAAATGAGCCTACCAGGTTCCAATGTGTATAAATATAGAGGGAACTTCCTTTTCTTCCTCCAGGTTTGCTTGAGTTGGAGAACAGGAAGTTCTCTTCCCTTAAGTTTCTGAATTGTCCAGAAACCGAGAGTATTGACAGTTAACAAGGCCACATCTTTATTCACGTTGCCCTGGCCTTTCAGGTCAGCAGGCCTTGCAGGGGACCTCAGGCAGAGCACGCTGTGCTTACCATGTACAGGGTAATTTTGAAACAGAGGCAAACATGCATGTGGCCACTAAGCATGCCACTGTGCGATCCACCAAAAGCAGGTGGTTTAGAGGAGCCTCTGTGGAGCCCCATTCAGAACCTGTGGTAGCTCGTCTGGGTCCATTTCATCAGCGGGGCTGGGCAGTGGCGGCATCTGTCTGAACACATCCACCATTCCTGTTTGCGAGGGGCTAATCTGCAGGCCTGCTAGGCAGCCTGGCCTCCAGCGCGGTCCTGGTGCTCATCCTTCTGAGCTCTCCTTCCTGCCAGGAGGAGGTGCAAGCAAAGCTGCTCTGGGATGCTGAGGGAGGAGAGGGGAAGGACCACTGCTAGCAGGAGATGTGGAGTGAGATTGTATGCTTTGGTCCCTTCACTAGGGCAGGGGTTTCTGGAGGACCAGGATGGGCAGGTGTACCAAGGCTCCTTCCATGACAACAAGAGACATGGCCGTGGACAGATGGTCTTTAAGTGAGTGTGGGTCTTGGGAGTGCAAGCTGCTACTTGGGGACAGGAGTGGTCCCCGCCTCCTAGAATGCTGGTGGCCAGAGGGGTCGAGTGGGTGAGTTCTGTAGAAGGTGCTACCTTGTACCCAGGCCTTAATACATTCTGAGCCTTTGCTGTTTCTCTCTGTGTCTCTTCTGTATGTGCATCTGTGATACCTGCCTCTGCCTCCTCCCACACTTGTTGAATCCAGGACCTAGCACCCTCGTGTCAAGCTGGTACAAGAATGGACCCCAAGGACATGGGTTTGGGCAAGATTTCTGGCCAGCAGTGCCATGTCCTCAGGCAGAGGGTTAGAGGCCTTAGGCCTGTGTTCAGATTCCTGGGTGGATTATTACCCAACACCCACTCTTGAAACAGGCAGGGTCACCTCTTCCATTTCTTCTGTCTGTCATCTCCCACTTTGAATAGCAGAAGCCAAACATGTCTTACACAGGGCCCAGCATGCTCTGGGAAGTGGGTCCTGCCATGAGGGGGCATGCAAACATGTCACCGCCTGTCACCAGCCCTCCTGAGCCAGCTCTGGCAAGGCAGAAGCTCACAGACCATCTGTTCAGAGCCTATTTTTGCCTTGGCCCTGGTGTGCGTGCTGTGCCTGGTCAGAGGAGTCGGCCTGAGTCACTGCTACCACCTGGTTCTTAGCTGAAGAGTCCTGTCCTGTGCCCTCAGGAACGGTGACAAGTACGAAGGCGACTGGGTTCGAGACCAGCGTCAGGGACATGGGGTGCTGTGCTGTGCTGATGGTTCCACATACGAGGTATTGTACTGCTGCCACAGCAGAAAGGTGGGAGGCCATTAGAGGGCTGGGGCCTGGATGGTGTTTGCGCACACTTCATCTGGCAATGCCCTGAATGTAATGGACACACATTCAACTCATCCTTACATGCCCACTACCACTCTGGAGGCTGACTTCTCTTCTGCTTGTTACGGTCTCAGGTGGAGTGAACCCTGTGCCATGTGTCAGGTGGACCAGGAAAACTAAGGTTTATCCACATGCTTGTTCTTGTCCACTTGGGAGGCATGAGATGCTGTGGGTTTGTAGGCAGGAGACAAGACTATGCTAGTGCTCTTAATGAGAAATGTGAAGTTTGGCCAGGAAAACTGGCAAGCTACTAGGAAGGGCACAAGAAGAAACAGATTACAGTGCAGGGCGGTCCCGAGACAGGGCTGGGCTGACTGCAGGCCAACTCGTAGCAGGAAGCAGGAGCTCAAGGGCCCTGGAATTAGCTTCTCAGTGATTCCTGTTGTCACAGGTGAGGTCCTGTGGGGACCAAGCCTGGAAGCCCAAGTGCTGCCGCTGCTGCTGTGGTGGGGACACGAGTTCTCTGGGGCTTTCCAAGAGGAAGGAAGAGCAAGTTTAGGCCTCCAGACTCCTGGGAGTCAAACTTCCTCGGCCCCTTGGTTCTTGTTGCATCCCAGTAAGCAGGATGGTGTGACTCATATTTTTCCAGATTCCTCAAATGGCAGAGTAACAACTGGAAGGAACAGCCCCTGGAAGTAGGAAGAGCCCAGCCTGGCTCCTGCAGAACCAGAAGAAGGGTAGCCACAGCTCTGTGGGGGGACTTCTTGGGAGAGTGGTCCCTACCTAACTCACTCGGCCTCTGGCACCAGAGAACAAAACCTTACCTATACAGAGCTTGCAGGCCCCTGCTGCTTCTGGTATTGTGTCCACTGGCTATGGAGAAAAGTTCAGCACCTGGCTCCCTGATGGAAATGGTGGGGTGGATGGCAGAACTGGGGGGCTACAGAAAGCCCAGTGTGAATGCCCTACCTGTGCACAGCTTGATCTCAGCCCACACCTCAGTAGGGTTCCTACTTACTCCTGTAACAAAACACCGTAACCAAAGCAGCTTGGGAGGAGGGGTTACTTCATATTACACTTCCCAGTAACAGTCCACCATGGAAGGAAGGACATCGGGGCAGGAACCCAGCGTAAGAACCTGGAGGCAGGCACTGAAGCAGAGGCCATAGAGGAACACTTCTTACTGGCCTGTTCCCTAAGGCTTGCTCAGCTTTCCTACGGCACCAAGGCCCACCAGCTGTGGGGTGGCACTGCCCACAGGTGTGCCCTCCACAGCAATCACCAACCAGGACTTGTCTGCAGGCTTATCCTGTGGAGGCATTTTGTCAGTTAAGGTTTGCCCTCAGATGATTCTATCTTGTGTCAAGTTGACATAAAAAACTAGCCAGCAGGACTGGTCTGGTCAGGGCTGTTGGGAGTGTGTGTGGACACTGCCGCCCTACTGGCCTAGAAGTTGCCTCTGATCTATGTTTGAGCCAGTCTGCACATCAACTGGACATGCTGTTGGGACCGACCTCTCACAGTCTGGCTCCTCATCCTCACAGGACCTGCCCTTACAGAATGCCCAAAGCAGGATTGAATTCAATGTGCAATGGTGATGAGGACTCAAAGGAGTCACTATTTCCTGCCTGTCATGCACCCTGACAGAGTCCACCATGACTCAGGGCACACTTTTACATGGGTGTCCTGTTTCCAGTGAACAAGGCCAGGGCTGTCAGATCACCTCCTACCTGCCAGGCTCTTCCACACCTTCCACTTGTAGATTCACTTAAACTCTTCCCACACCCCAGTAAAGGGACTGTTTCCCACATTTTATAAATGGGAAAACTGAGGCCCGGACATGGCTTCCCCAGCCAGAAAGGGGCAGAAGAGCTCGGCACCTAAACCCAATCCATATGCCTGACCCACCCCCGCCCTTTCCTGGGATTTGGGAAAGGCTTTGTCCCAGACCCAGCCCACATCCCACTGTGAAGGAAAATGGGTGAGCTGCCATTGACAGCCCAGAAGGATACAGCCACCCCCTGGGCAGGAGTGAGAAAGAATAATGAAAGGCTTTGAGCTCGCTCCATCCCTATTCCCCGAGGCAGTTCTGTCCCACGTATCCTTAAACAGCCAGTACGGCTTCTTCACTGGCAGCCACTAACCATCAGTGGCTGGGGTTCTGTGGGGTTCTGCCCAGGCCTTCCATTCTGAAACCTGAATTTGTTGGACAGCCAAGAAGAGAGAAGACCAGGGATGCCCGACTTTGACCACCAACATCCTGCAATATGTCCGCCAGGGGGCAGCCCAAACCTGCTCATCGGTAGCATGCCCGGCCTTGGCCCTCATTCCAAGTTTGGGTGGAAATGCCCTGGGCCCTAAGGCAAGCAGCAGGGAGGCCTGAATGCCTAAGCAGTGAGCACAAATCTTGAGACTGCCACAGACGCTAAAACTTCAACTTGCTGTGGCTTTTCCTCCTGAGGCCAGAACCTGGAACTCCACAAGACTCCTGAGAAAGGCTTCCTCCCTCAGAGGTGGGCCTGGCAAATGTGCAATCTTCAGCTCCCTCCTCAATAGCCCCCATCCCCAGCACCCTGTGGCTGGTCAGCAGGAGCTGTGTTCATGTTGGCCTGGAGCGTAGACATGCAGCCGCACCAGAAAGCAGCAGCACGAGCTGAAGCCACTGCAAGAGGAGTGACCAGAGGACCCATATCTGGGAGAAAGGCCTTTTAAAAAAAATAAAGAACAAACAATGGCCTCAATAAGTACTTTCTTCCAGGATCTTATGGGCACTGAACAGAGAGGGGCACCCAAGGCCAAGAGGACAGTGGACAGTCCATCCAGTGCCATCTGGAAGTCAGGACTCCCGGTACCATGGGCACACATAGCTACCAGTTGAGACCACAGGCTTTCACTGACCAGCAGGAGGTTTCATTTGCCACCTGAGTGAGGAAAGTAATTTTCCAAGTCTGTCACTCAGCTCCTGAGGCTCTAGCTCAGCTGATGACCATCTCTGCCCTGGGCTCTCCCACAAGGGCCATCACCTGCCTGGAGTGGAGGGCAGAGACAGCAACCAGAAAAGGTCATGGCTGAGAAGGATCATGAGATTTGCTTCCCATAGGCACCACTATTCTTCATGTTGTCAGTAAAACATAGACTTTTCTTAAACACACACACCAAACAGGAAGTATACCATCTTATTCATTCTTTTTATTTTTGTTTTTCAAGACAGGGTTTCTCTATGTGTAGCCCTGGCTGTCCTGGAACTCACTCTGTAGCCCAGGCTAGCCTCAATCGCAGCGATCTGCCTGCCTCTGTGTCCCAAGTGCTGGGATTAAGAGCATGCAGCATCACTGCCCGGCTGAGTGTTCAGTTCGGTGGTGTTAAATGCTCAGATCATTGTGCAGCCAACACCACCATCTGCTCACAAACTCATCTATGGAAACAGACGCCCCATTTCCCTGGAGTCCTGAGCACCCGCATTTCTTCTGTCTCAGTTGACCTGACTCCTCTGGGGACTTGAGTGAACGTGTTTTTTAGTGGCTGGCTACACTTGTGGAACATGACAGCCTCCAGGCCACATCTTTGGAAGGCTGAGTGGCACATATATGTATGTTCTGTTTCCTTGTTCGTTCATTCCAGGAGAAGCAGGCTACTCTCCCTCTGGGCCACCATGAACAGTGCCCTGGCATAGATGTGCAGGCCTTCGGTGAATAGACCCAGCAGTGGAATGGCTGTGTCATGTAGTTGTTACCTTTTTTTTTTTTTTTTTTTTTGTGGCGCTGCCAAATTTTTCCACTGAGGCTGTACTTATTTCCTGTTTTTAAAGCTGCCATAATTATGAACGTGAGCCATTTGGCCGTGGGTAGTTGATAGCTGAACCCCGTGCACTGTGGCTGCCGTCATCACTCAGGGTCGGCTTTTGTTCTTCTTGCCTGACACTGCTGCAGTGGCTCTCAATGCCCTGTCCCTCACAGCATGTACCGCCTGTCACCTGGGGGTGCTTGCCTCTTACCGAAAGCTCTCTCAGGGAAACCTCTCGAGTTTTCTTTTTGACCCTTGGGTAAATGAGGTGTGTAGGTGATAGCTGCTCAGCACTCAGGTGTCTGGAGAGAGTAACCCATCGACCCCTAGACCCACTAACCTTAGCTTCTCCTCATTCCAAGAAGACCGGAGAGTGCTCAGCCTTTCTCTAGTCAGTTTTGTTTTTCTGATTATGGCCCTACTTAGCCACCTGTAACAGTAGCCAGCACTCCCATGTTGTAAAAAAGAAATCCAGACCCTGAGCGAATATTGTAGGAGGGCCTGCAGGTCCCAGAGGCAGCTGGCATGGCGGGCATAGTGATGCGCTTCCATCCACATCGTTAGTGGAACCTAGACCAGTGCCCTGACAAATTGTTGAGCTGCAGGCCTCCCACCGGATAGGTGTGTCTGTCACCGAAAGCCCTGGCTCTCTGAAAATTAAGGCTTCCCATATTGGTTTTCCCAGAGGGCAACCTGCTGATTGGCACACCTGTGCACACATAAAACAGGTGGCTAGCCTTCTGGGTGCCTTCACCTGCTGGAGTCCCCAGCTTCCCCCTTACCTGACATGTCTGCAGAATCCCTGCCTGTCGCCAGGCAGATGAAGACAGGTGCTGGGGCCACCTCCCATATCACTTGCTCGTCCTCCTTGAGCCGACAAGGCCCAGGCCAGGATGGATGGACCATTGACCCAGACATGTCGCTGCCACTGGAGATCTCTGGGAAGAGTGTAGAAGAGTGCAGAACCTGCGTCCAGTCATGGCCTCTCAGGAGTTCAGCTGCTGCCCATGTTTGCCCCCGCCTGAAGCCATCTTGGCAATGGTCAGTGCTGCACTAGGGTCAGCATGCCCACGCCCCTACAAAATATTCCCACTCCACACCCTGAAATCCTGGGAAGATCTAGTCAGGACGGTCAAGTCCAACACCCTGCAGGCTTCCTGTTACTGGAATGCAAGTGAGACTCCCAGCCACCCCTGCAAGCTGGAAATCAAGTTCCATAACAGTCACAACCCCAGGAGAAGAGCCCACACAACCTTTCACAGGTGACATCACCCAAGGGGAACAGAAGAGTCAAGGCTCAGCAGCAATCAGGGATGATTGCTTCCTAAATACCATAACATCATGGAAGCCAGCTCAGAAAAGGTCTAGAGCTTTTTCATCCCAGAAGGACCAAGATGTACAAGAGCAAATCGGTGAACTTACACCTGGAATGGACTTACACCCAAATCCACATCTATGCCATAGCCAGCATAGAGGCACTTTGAATATAATATGGGAAGAAAACAGTGTGGGCTAACTGGAAAATGTTTCCTGCAGTGAGAGATGCCACAGGTTTGTTTCCTGCAGTTTATTGAACTTAGTGTGCTCACTGTCATCAGTGTGGTCTGCAGCTGTGGCAGGACAGGACAGTGATGGCTGTGCCTCACTCTCAGGGTCACTGTGGCAGTCACAGAGCAAATGGCTGTCCTCTTCTCCTGGATGTCCTTTTCCTGATGGTGGCTCCTGGTTTGCTGTGTGTTTGCTTGTCTTCCTCGGCAGGCTCGCCTCTTCTGTCTGGCTGTACACATCCGTCTCCCCTGGTGCCGGGCAGAGCTGGGCAGGCAGGCAGAAGAGCAGGTGTCTCTAGCTCTCGGGCTTGGTGGTGCTGCAATGCCCCGTTCCACCGCACGCTGGGCGCCTGAGACTCCCAGACTGGCCCGCACTGGGTATCGCCTGGGTAGCCCTCAGGCTCCTCTGAAGTTTCACAGAATGGGAGGCCAAGGTGGGAGCTAGCAGACCAGGACCTGTCTGGCTGCCTTCTTGAGCTGCCTTGCAGGGACACTATGAGAGGGTGTTGCTAAGTGCCAGAGCCTGCCCAACACTCTGGGAGTTAAGATGTTTCACCCTCAGGCACCTCTTCATGATCTGCATGCAGACGGCCAAACGCAGAATTTATGAAACCATTCAGGCAAGTCTATGGCCACTGTCTTTGGTCCTTCACACACATCTGTATCATCTGAGAGCTGGCCTGAGGCCAGGAGCCCCAAGCTCCAGCTCCTACTGTCTCAGCCGTGATTGTAGCATGGCCACACACCTCAGGGACTATGGCAGATGTTACGGAGGGTGAGCACTGTTAGCTGAGCGGGAAATGCCAGGGAGTTTCTGGCTGAGAGGCTCCCGCAGCAGAATAGGACCCTCTATAGCTATCCGCCTACCATTGCCCGGGCCTTGCCAGCCCGCACTCCGCATCACACTGCTTATTTCTGGCCACGCCCTTCCATGGCGCCCACCCCATGAACAGGTACCTGGCCACATGGCCCTTCCTCCCTTCTTTCTGAAAGCCCACGAGGGCACTTTGCAGAAGCCCTGTGGGCATGATGGGCAAAGATAGAAGAAAAACTGCTGTTCCTTACCCTATAACTCAGAGCCTGGGACACATCTAAGAGTCCATCAACAGAGCCAGGTGGCCCTTCCTGTACCCGCTCAGAACGTTTGTCACCAGCCATGTGTGCCATTGTCACCCTTGAAACAATCTGAACAGGAAGGGAAAAGTTTGGATACAGGGAGGACAGCAGGCACAGGTGGGGCTGGGAGCGCTCCTCGGGAGAAGCCAGTAAACTGAAGACTAGACTGCTTGCTGGGGCACCTGGATTCTTCTGGTAGAGAAGGCCAGGCCAGGGGAGGCCCCTGTGCTCACCCCCCAGCCTTCCAGGAAAGGCTCCCAGCGCCTCACTGAATTTGGTTCAGCCTGTGATCTCTAGAGCCAATCTGATACCTACCCTCCTAATGCTGCTGCATTCCACGTCTGTAGAGACAAGAAGGTGGAATCTCTTAGCCCAAGACGGTGGGATCAAACACATGGTGGGGTGAATGGCATCTGCTAGGATGGGACATTGTCAGCTGAGCATCCACCAGCAGCCTCTCCAGGAATGCAGCTGCTCTGTAGCCCTGGGATTATGGGTCTTCCTGCTCTGTCTCATTGTGAGCAATTTCAGTCTGGAGCAACGGAGCCACCCCCAAGGCACCTTGGAGCCTCGCTCAGGGCTGACTTGGCAATTCTCTGGATGATAGCTCTATCCACATCCAAGAGGGGCCTGCACCTGGGTGAACAAGCAGGCCCCTGCCCACGTGCCCCACAGCTGCTGCTGACCTGTCTGTTGAGAGGAGTCCCTGGGGTGCCTGTTTTTTGTCTGCCGCCTAGGGGCATGCAGTTTTCAAGGTCAGTATCTGCTCTCCCCGGCCTGAGGCCTGACGTCTCTCTTTGCACACATCTCTTGAGATCCAGGCATCCCACATGTGGTGACTGCTCTCAGCAGCCATGGAAAGCTTCCCCCAGGTTGTAGGTACTCTGAACTTACTAAGTAGGGTTTCAACCTTCTCACCATCTTTGTGACCACACCCCCTCAGCGCTTCTTGGCCTGAGTGAGCCCTACAACCCATTTTCCTATTCTGTTTGCATTCTTAGAGACTGGCCAGCACCCTGGCCTGTCAGTGACCATGTGGGAGCCCAGGTTGCATGCAGAGGGGGTTCAGGGCAGGGTAGGGCAGCTGCTACCCAATTCACTTCGGCAGAAGTGGCTCAAACCAAGCCTGTTGTCAGCTGATTTTCCCCATACAAGTAATTCACAATAAAAAAAAATAAAATGCCATTTTGATCTTGAAATTTTCTATGGACCTGATCCTCCTGCTGTTTCACACAATTGCTTGGCAATCCAGGTGTGCTGTGGAGAAGGCAGAGTGGGGTGTGGGGGAAATGGCACCCCACCCCGTGTGTGTGTGTGTGTGTGTGTGTGTGTGTGTGTGTGTGTGCACGCACTCAAGTTGTATACTTTAATTGCCTCTTTTAAAAGCCCTGGGCGTCAGAGCAACCCACCTTGGTCCTGGCTGCACCATAGTTGCAGGTTCAGGTCTCCTCAGGGTCAGAGTGCCACACCTTTGTGTGAGGATGCCTTTGTCTGAAAGTGTGCCTGTTCAGTGGTGTTTTCTTTGCTCGGTGTGTGCTGTGCCTTTGTTCCCTTTTTCCCCCGGCGTCATTAAAATTCAAAGGGAGAACACTTAGCAAAGCAAATTGGATCCCTCCTCACAAAATGCAGTGCCTCACCACCAAAGCAAAGGCTGCCTTAGCCTCACAGCCCCGGAGGTTCCCATGGTCCAGGGTCTCTCTGAGGCTGCCTCATCCTCCCTGCAGGGCCAGTGGCACAGCGACGTCTTCAGTGGCCTTGGCACCCTGGCCCACTGCTCTGGCGTCACCTACTGTGGAATGTTTATCAACGGCCACCCAGCAGGTAGGTGCTCCCAGCCCTCCCATCATCCTGTGTGATGTGCTGTGTCTGAGCCTGACCAGCCTCGTGGGGTGTTGAACCAAGCTGGGATGGACTGGAACATGAATCCCAGGCCTTTTCAGGACAATCGTAGGCTGGCTGATTACAAAAGGGCTGGTGGCTGTGTAGACCTTGGTGGACCCAAGCAGGCCCTCCTACCTCTGGGCTTTCCCAGCCACAGCCCACCCCCTTACCCACAGTACCTCTCAGCCCACCCCGCAGCCTCTTCCAGCCTCCCTCACCCCCCCAGCCTCCCCCACCCACAGTACCTCTCAGCCATAGATACCTCTTAAGCATGGGGCCTCTTAGACACTGGATTTTGGAGTTGCTGACCCAACAGCTCCATGCCATACCCTGTCCTGTATGGTCTCCAGGCTCTCTTGAGAGCTCCATGCTCTGACTGCACAGTGATCTGTGTCCACCTTGGCTTGCAACCTTCCTGGTCATTATTTGCTCCCTTGTTTTTCCAAGTGGCCTCTCCTTAGACTTAGGACAGAGGTACCATCCCAAGGGTAGGCCTAGCCAGGGACACGAGTCCTTCATCTAAGCCTTCAGCCAACCTAATTGTGCCAAGCAGTTGCCTGGGGTGTCTCCGGTGCTGCTGCTACAACCACTAAAGCCCCCTTCTGCCCTCAGCACAGGCTAAGAAAATTGTGATCCTGGGTCCAGAGGTACTGGAAGTGGTCAAAGGATCTTCCTTCACACTGAATGTACAGCTACAGCAAGATGATGGGGAAGTTGCCAAGAGTAAGTGTCTTCAGGGCGATGACCCTGTTCTTCCAGAAGAAATGGGCTGCAGGCTCTTAAGTAGAGCCAACTGGGTAAGGTGTTTGGGTTGCTCCTGAGATAATATTGCAGAAGTCCCTGCAGCCTGGAGCCTGGCAGAGCGTTCAGGAGGCCTGCAAGACAGGTGGAGGCAGTCTTGTGTGTATGTGCACATGTTCATGTGCGCCTTACGCATGTTGTGTGCACACATGAACACGTGTTTGGCACATGCAAACCTTCACTCAGTGACTAATGTGCCTTGTACAGAGCACAGAAAATAAAAAAGATACAGTCAGCATGGACCATAACTCAGTAGGCCAAGAGCAGTCTCTCATTTCCTCTTTGGGGTAATCAGTCTCTCTTTTAGGTATGAACCTAATGAACCTCAAACCAAGAAAGACCTCTGAAAGCTCTGCCCACCATATTAACTCCCAATAGTTATTAATTCACCCAAGTTCAGTGCTTCAGTGAGAACGTCATAGTGTATATAAGGACTGGAGAGGTGCCTCAGTAATTAAGAATGCAGACTGCTTCTGCAAAGGAGCCAAGCTCAATTCTTCGTACCCAAATCAGGTGACTCAGAACCACCTGTAACTTAGCTTGGAGCCGGGGATAGAGGTCTGACACTTCTGGCCTCCATGGGCACTTGTATTCATGTGCACACAGACACACGTATATGCACATAATTAAAAATAAAATCTTAGTGTGGTGCGGTGGCACACACCTTAAACCCCAGCACTCAGGCAGGCAGAGGCAGGCAAATTACCTGAGTTCAAGGCCAGCCTAGAATACAAAGAGAGTCCAGGACAGCCAGAGCTACACAGAGAAATCCTGTCTCAACAAAACCAAAAATAAATGAACAAATGAATGAATAAATAATAAACTAATATATGTATTAAGTTGGCTTAGTAACTTTATTAAGGTATCATTTTTATGCCATTAATCTCAGTATTAAATGATTCCATGATCTCTTTTTTTAAATCTTGTGTGTGTGTGTGTGTGTGTGTGTGTGTGTGTGTGTGTGTGTGTGT